AGCACAGCTCAAGCTAAACCAGGTCATGCGCAACGTCAGTGGATGGATTAGCGATCACGGTCTGCAATTGGCTAGAGCCAAAACGGAGATCATTCTCCTCACCAGGAAACGGATCCCAACAATTAGAAATATGATGGTCGGACCTCAACTCGTGACGACTTCTAGGTCTACAAAATACCTAGGGGTGAAGCTTGACAGCAAAATCACATTCTGGGAACACATCCATGGAGTATGTGAAAAAGCTGCGTAGAGCACGGCGGCTCTAAGCCGGCTGATGGCGAACGTGGGCGGCCCGAAGCCATGCCGCAGGAAGCTTCTGATGACAGCGGTCCAATCGGTGCTCCTGTACCGGGCAGAAATATGGGCTGACGCATTGAAAGTAAAAAAATACCGGATTCAAATGTCTTCGGTCCAGCGCAGAGGGGCACTACGCATTGCTTCTGCATACCGTACGGTGTCCGCGGACGCGGTTCTAGTTATTTCTGGCGTCATGCCAATTGAGCTACATGCTTACGAGCGAAAAGAGATTTACAATCTCAGTGCCTAGATAGGTCGAGCAGCTGCTTTTTGCGTTTCTTTTTTTGTGTCAACTGACGGCAATTGGAAATCCCAAGTGAAGCCAAGTCCTTCTCCACTTGGCCTTTTCATCGCACTATGTTCATGTCATGGTGAAGCTCATACAGCCGTCGTCAATGCCTAAATTTCCGTAACTCTTCCGCAAAATGTTTCTTTCGAATACTCGAAGAGCCGTCTCATCGGATGTTGTTACTGTTTACTGTCCATCTTCTGCGCCATATACCAGCACGGGCATGACGAGTAACTTATAAGAGTGTGGTTTTCATACGTCGAGAGAGGACTTTAGATCTGATTTGCATACTGAGTCCAAAGTAGCACTTGTTGGCAGGAGCGATTCTGCCTTGAATTTCGATGCTGACATTATTATCGGTGTTAATTCTGGTTCCCAAGTAAACGAAAATCTCCACTTTCTCGACATCATAACTCACAACAGTGACGTGAGCGCCGAAGCACGAATGCGCTGACTGTTTGTTTGATGAAAGAAGATACTTCGTCTTGTCCTCATTGACTACCAGACCCAATCGATTTGCTTCTTTATCCAAGTTGGAAAAGGCTGAACAGACGTCGCGGTTCTTATTATGCCAGCAATTGCACGCTCTTGTAGAGAATTGTTCATGAGCAGTTCAGTACTGCAGCTCTTATTATCTGGTGGTGTTGCTCAACTTTATTGTACACAGCCGTATCACTTAAGCGGGGATACAAAATTCAGACATCGCGGCGTATAGGCAACTCTGTTTAGTGCTGGCGGCTTTGAAGTCGACGAATGGTGATTTTTTCGCGGGTCTTTTACAATACCTGGTCTTTGTTGAATTTGCAAGGTCTAAAGCCACACTGATAGGACCCAATCAGTTCGTTTACGGTGGGCGTCAGTCTTTCACACAATATGCCCGTTAAGACCTTGGAACCTAGTTAAGGCCTTGGAAACGTGGTAATTGGTGGGCCGCCCCATGGATTGGGCCGAGCACCCTTAAATTCCAGTCGGCGAGAATGCGTTCATCTGATCATATTCTGCATGACCGTTGATACATGGACGTTATCAACTACTCGTTGCCGTACTTGAATAGCTCAGCTGGCAGGCTGTCAGCTCCAGCGGCTTTGTTGTTTTCCAAACTCGCTATTTATATTCGTACTCATCATCGACTGGGGGCCCGGTTCGTCTTCTCAGTGCTGCTACCATTCAGTAGGGTGGAAAAGTGTTCCCTCCATAATTTAACTATATTCTGGACATTAGTCACTAGGTAGCCGTTGTAGTTCTTACAAGAGTTCGCCCAGGTCATGAAAACTTCCGTAAGTTGCTTAATTCTCTGGTAAAATTTTCGAGCATTATTCCTGTCGGTTTTCACTTCAAGCTTTTCGCACTCACGTATATCGGCCTCTTTCTTATTGCGGCAAATACGCCTCGCTTCCCTCTTCAGTTCCCTACAGCGGTCCCACATAGCCCACGTTGCGCCCGATCGCAGCGTGACCCTGTAGGCGGCATCTTTTTCTATGCAGCTTCTTGACATTCGTCATCCTACCAGTTTTTTTCGGGCTCGCTGAAATTCAACTGCTTCTTCGGCGGCGGCACTTAATGAATCAGAAATATGGTTCCCTCCTCGCATATAACGGTTTGTTGGGGTGCTCTCTGAGAGTAAGTGTGAGAGTCGAGTAGCGAATGCATTGGCCGTCTGTTGGCCAGCTTACAGTTCGTAAATATATAAGCGTAGTTATAGAGGTATATTATTTTTCCCCAAAAAATCCAACTACATATAAAGGCGAAGAATAGAAGCGGCCAATCCGTAACTCTATATGTAAATGTGGAATATATTTGACGAAAAATGACTCTGTGGCAAGGCGGCGAGAAAATAATCACGTTCAATTACTTTTCTTTAAACCAATGCGGATCGAGGAAGTTATTTAGCCTCATTGCGAGAGTCGTGTCGAACGCAAGTCATTTTTGAGAGTCGAATCGTATCGAAAATTTCACGTCATTGCCTCAGATTTCTACTCTACTAGTGTAATTTGTGTTACTGAAACCTGGTTCTGCCCATCTGTCCTTGATCTATCCTACAGCACTCCAGGCTATAATCTTCTTCGTCACGATCGAAACTCTAAAAGGGGGTGTAGCGTTGCAATATATAGCAAAGCATCTATAAAAGTACGTCTATTGGCTGAATCTTTCAACTCTTGTACTGAGTTCATTATAGCTGAAGTCTCTGATGGAGTAACAAGCATTTTAGTGGTGTGTGTGTATAATCCCCGAAAGTGTAGTTTATTAGACTCATTTTTTGTTGAACTGTCTGTGTATCTAATTGACTATGAAATTTATGTGATTTGTGGTGATTTCAA